AATCCGTACATATTCCGTTATCAATTGCACAGCGTAGCTCGCGAGTTGACATAAATTCATAGAAGCACGAGTCGAGACAGACGGGAAATAAAATTATTACGGGTAAATGCGAGTTTGTTGCACGCATTCCGCCAAGATTGGTAACGCCTGTGGTAGAAAAGAAAAATGGTGGATTCGTAAGAAACCGTTCGATCGATAGAAGCCAAGCTAACCGCTGCGTACGAACACTCGATATCCACACGTCATTCGATATATCTCGCCACGTATCCTTTTTACCGACCGATTAACCGCGCTGCACACGAGATTTTTCGTCAGCCTGGGGCTCTCTCTCTCTGTTCACGGTCGCAGAGAGACGCATGTAAAACGAGGCTATCGGGGATAGATCGATTTACGTCTTTCCCCCCCTTTTTTTTTTCTTTTTTGAAGTCGGGCTTTCTTTCGAACAGCAGGCGGACACGATTCGCTCGCTAAATCTATATGGAATGCGGAGCACGATTCGCTATAACTGCTTTATTTCAGGGAGAAAGGGAAAAAGAGAACAAACTTGTAATCTCGCATCTAGAGAAATTGAATATGTCCAATATCGAACACGTCAATGAATGGATGCATCTTAAAATATAATATACACAGAGAAAAGTCAAATGTTCATCTATTCGTACGTCATGCAGAAGTTGCAATCTCGTGATTCGTTACCTTTCGTTCGCCTGCGATCCTGGAAGGGTCGTTGTCGGGGGGGTCTTTGTTCTAATTTTCAGCTTTCGTGGCCGGAGTTCTCTAGGTTCATGCGCTCTCGCTAATTACGCAACGTTTGCTATCAAAGCGTTCGTCTGCCTCTAAAGGACACTGTGGCGTTTGTACGAGAGGATTGAACAACCGGTTTTTATTAATTAGATTAATGAGCTAATGATCCGGTTGCAATAATCTATAACGAACATATTTTAACACGGTTGGCAATAATTAATAATTATATTCGCGAATGTTCTACTATTACGTTACGGATATATTCTACTGTTGCTACAGATACAGATACAGATACAGGTATACTTGTATTACAGGTAATTACCTACGGTATAATTAAGGTTACGGTCGACGTGATGTCTGACACATTGTGATCAAATTGCTCTGTGAAGTGATCTCATGGTCACGTCGATATTTCTTCTATTTCAACAACGTTAATAACAAAACGTCAATCGATATTCTAAGAGCACGTAAGTCCACGGAAACCACGATTTCACACGACGGCGTAGAGTTTCAGATTTTCTAATGCTTCGATCCTGTTTCCACTGATACCGATTCTAAAAAATTCAGAGAGAAAAAGAGAGAGGGAGAGGAAGAGAGAGAGAGAGAGAGAGAGAGAGAGAGAGAGAGAAATGGCGCATTGTTTTTATCGAGTCTGAAATTGAGCTAAATCCCGAGGATCGTGCAATTCAGGTGAATCCGGCGTGTTGCCAAGTGGCACGAAAACGAATTTTCAGCGAAAGTAGAGCAAAATGACGTACGAGTACACAACGAACTCTTAAATTTTAATGTCCTGCTAACACCATTTATCATTGTGTGTGTCCTGGGTAATTGTACTACAATAACGAACGAGTGTCAACGAAGGACAAGTATGCATAGATTATTATATCACCGTATAGTCAAAGGCTCGTATTTTTTAAGTGAGAATAAACGACTTTGAGGTAAAAGAGAAATTGGAAAGATACAAAAGAAGGAAGATTAAGTGTCTTGTCAGAGAAGCGTACTCTGCAGTTATTCACTCTGGCGCAGACAATTTTTTAAATATTACTTCCGAATTCTTCAACTCATGTTACAAAATGAAACACGAGGTTGGAAGATTGAAACAAAAGCGAAGATTGAAAGAAGAAAGAAGATGTCGTAGAATTACATTCCGCAAACGTCGACAGAGACAACTTTTTAAACTCTCCCCAAATATTATCTTCAATTCCCTTAACTTGTGTTACAAAGTGGAGGACAAAGTGAACTTTTCTTCAGTTAAAGATAAAATATCTTCGAAGAGGTGAACGAAGAAGAAAGCAAAGAAGATGTCAAAGAATCGTCGCGAATATCAATGTTCGCACGATGTCGATGATCAAAAAAGGTTACGGAAATCAACGTCTCTTCTTTTCAATGAAAAGTAAAATACTCGAATTCGAGGACACCATGGACAACGTGAAATCGAACGAAGATTTACAACGTAAATGACTTTTACCGAGAAATTCCTTTTAGCGGATTAACCAAGAAAGAAAAGATTACACTGGCTCGATTAAAAAGCACCAAGACTGATTGTCCCTTTTGTGATAGATGTAAAAAATCTGTCACAGCTCAACACATTCTATGTGAATGCACAAACTTTGAGTTGCAGAGAAGATACGATTAATCCCACTTTCCCAAAATCATCTGAAGAGAGCACTTCGATATTTGATGAACCTAAATTTATACTACAAAATATAAGTACAATAGAAATATCTAATCGCTAATAACCTCGATGTCGATGTGACTTTAAATCTGTATAAAAAAAAAAAAATACTTGAACTAAAAAGAGATGAAAGAAAGAAGGCGGATTTTGACGTAAAAGAACCTTGTACGGTGCACGTCAGTATCAACGCAGACACGGTTTTCAAATATTTGTCAAGCGCTGTCTGCAAATTGCTCGACTTTATTATTAGTTACAGAATGAAACGCGGAGTGAACATTTGCTTCTCCGCGGTGTGTGTTATTTTAACTGACATGTGGTATTGTCAACTGTCAGTGGCTTGTGACACAAATACTACGTTGATCGATATCCCCCAAGTTCTTTCCATTCCTTTCCGTGCAACGCGGGAAACCCGTGTCTCCAATTCGCGAATAAATATTTTCAAACAGCGCAACTTGACGCGGTTTCGAGCAGAACTCGAGCTCGCTCGTTCCCCGCTCTAATGACTCGTAATTAATCCTAATTTCACCGTCAACCGTTCTGCAACGAAGATCGATTAGGAAGAAGTTTAGTGGTTGTAATTGGAAGTAGGGCGCCAACTCGTCTGATTACCCAATTTCGGAGCAACAAAACAAATACAAATTGCGTGATTGAAAAATGTCGCCCGAGTGTTTACTTTAGCTCTTAAATTCGTTGAAAACCGTTGCCAATGTTTTTAGAGTTAGAATTGGAATTCTAGCGGAATCTTTGACTGATCAATAACGTCACGTGATTTCCAGCGATCGTAAATTTTCGAAAGAACATTTCAGTTTCTGTGAAGAAAGTTACAGTGATTTTATTACAAACACTGTAAATTTTAGTAACGCAACATAAATATATTGCGTTATAGCCGTCGTATAACCCAACGACTGTATTTTTTTTTCCTTTGAAACGACGCACGATCTCCAGCCTTGCACACGCTAACGAGCAGTTGATCACGTATCCTCGAAGATACGCATGCATCAAGAGTAAATCCATCGGAAAATTGAATTAATTACGACAGAGCGTGTCGGTCGTATGCATGCACACGGCAACAAATAATTACGAAACGTGTTGGGATTGCGATATATATATATTCGACTGGCGGAATTGTTTACTCGACTCGCACACTCGTTCGAGTCAAGTGTCATTACGTGCCAGCGGATAGAAGTGTAATTCTCGAGGTTTAATTACGCGGGAACAATACGCGACGGTGTCCGCGGAATTAGAAATTTAATGTCACGTCGCGGATCGGAGACGGCTCCGAATTGGCTCGTCGCGTGTACGCGAGCGAAATACACTCGAGACACGGTGTTACGTAACGGAAGTTTCATTGAAATCGTCGCGTTAGAAACTACGTTTGACTGCGTTTGTCTTACAACCGTCCGCCCTTCTCTCTCGGGCATCGCCGATCGATACTCTTTCGTATTATTAAGTAGCTTCTGGAGAAACACTGGACAAACGTGGCTTGGACGTGTCCTTAATTATTAATTCCGAGGCAGACGTTGCTAGTTAACTCGTAGCTGGAGCGAGGTTTTCGAATTCGGCGCGCTCGAATGTTATAAGGATAATCCTTAAGTCCGGGGAAGGGGAGGAGCCCTGCAAGTTGAGATAATATTTGAGAACTCTAATTACGCTGGGAATTTACATTTAAACGAGAAGTGTAAACCTTTCCGAGAGCTTTCGCGCTATTTCGATGGAGGAAATCACCGTCGATGTTCGTCCGAATGATCGGCCACAGACGAATTCCATTTCGTCGCCGGGAAAAATCGAGAAAATAACCGCGCTCCCGGGTGAAAGCGGATGCTCCAGATATCTTTCAGACTCTTCCCGTCCTCGCGCTCTGTGTAATCAAAAATATATTTTCCAACGGCGAAGAACGAAAACGATGTATGTACGGTCATTGAATGAACGGTCGCGCGGAGAAATAGGTCGCACGCAATGCCTCGACGTTGCAATTTCATTTCTCCCGAGGCTCGGTTAATTCATCCGATCGATTCGCTCTTGCGTTGCGACTTGAGGGAATTGCGATAATTTCAATGGAGAAAGATACACCAGAGACAGAGAGGAAAGAAAAAAAAAAAAGAAAAGGGAAAAGAAAACCAACGAATGCACGTGCAAACGTACACGGCGGATCGAAGCGGATCGTTCTTCATTGGGGTTTTCGTATGAAGAGATGTGAGTACGTGCGATACGTTCGCGCCTCTGACACTATCAGCAGTTTATCGAAGAGGGAAACCTTGACTTGTCTGTTGACGTTTGAAAAGGAGCAATAACGGGTTGCCACTCTTAATAAACGTGGCTGCCAATTACCGTGACGATCATTCGGCTTTACCGAGACGATCGGGGTCAATGCCAATTCTCTCTCTGCGAGACCTGTAAATCCCTACAGTCTAACAGACGGATGTCGATGAGTATCGACCACGTATAGTAGGTCTACGGCGAGTGTCTGCACACGATCAATTGCGATCTACGCGAGCGGAGGGGTAATACAATGATTTCACAGAAGGTACAACGCACCTCTACGTTCTACGATGGTCTATGGTTGTTCTCAACGGGAAAAACTTACCCCAACAGAGCAGATTTCTCGGGCGTGGCTGCGGTCGGCATCCTGTTTCTTTCCCTAGAACAAAATAGCGGCGAATAATAACAACGCCCGGCCCTAGCGGCTTGCGGCCTCTACCCGGGGTAACCAACGACAAACAATTAGCAGGCAATATCGTCATTCCAAATGCAAAAAACTGGCGAGAACGATCGGATCTACCGCGTGCCGTATCAGCATAAAGCCAGCTTGTTACAACCGCAACCTAAGGTACGAATCCGGAGTGCGTTTTCTGGTCAACGACCGAGCGAAACCGTCGTTGACCAGCTTGCTTTCACGCAGGATGTCTTTCGTCGAGTTTCGCGATCCGTCTAGAAACGGAAATAGATTTGAAAGACGATAGCAAGATGAATCGGAGCGCATGGAACACGCATCCGTTTGGTGGCCATCGTCGCGACAACAAAGAATCTCCGGGTGTTGTTTCCCTCCCTCCGCGCGGAAGAAATTGAGGATCCGTGCGGTTGAGAGACGTCGTCGTGTTCGCGGTTGGTGCGTCTTGGCCCTTGGAGAGGATCGACCTCGCAGGAGGATCTCTCTTGGACTGAGAAGCCGGTTCCGCAGCGCACGCGCTACGTTCGTCGCGCGCCACGAACCACACGCTAATGCAACTCGAGCGTTGCGAGGACAAAGGAACACACATCCGACTATGTGCATGCAAAAAAAAAAAAAAAAAAAAAAAAAAAAAAAGAAGAAGAAGAAGATTACTGGTAACGATAATAATAATAACGTAACGTCGCTGATAATTTCGCAGAAATATTTTTTCAGTTGTTACATACACGCGGCGAGACACGCGATTGCACGTTTCGATGTTACTCCTTTCGAGAGATGATTTAATAATGGAAATTATTTCAGTTTATTTTGCGCTAAATTATAACTCGTACAAAATTGATTATTCATTATACTGTTTAAACGTTAAATCTTGCGATCGTCGTGAATTTGTTTGAAGTTAAATTATAATTGGAATCGTTTTTTTTTTTTTTTTTTCTTATTGGATTTAAAATTAATTGAGGATTCTAGATATAGATACGCAGCATGACAGAGAAAAGTTACGATACAGGTGAAATTTCGCGTGTTGGAACGTGCGAAAGTGTTTCGCCGAAAGGAAGTCGAAGATTTAAACGAAAGTATCTCCTGCAAATCTCCTTTCGTAGCACTACAACATATAAATCGAAACGTAAAACACGTAGTACGTGTATTATATTTTGATTGATGTTCGTACGTCGAATAATCGAAAGGTAAATGTAAACAGCGGCTGACAGATATCGGAAACATAAATTTGAATAGCTTCCTACTACAAAGAGCGAATCTGTGTATCCTATCGGACGTGTTACATTATATTTCTCCGTATAACATATTTCCTCTGTTAGTGTAATTTTCTACTTAAAATCAAACTATGATACGTAACAGAGTTCAATGATATCGAAGAGAATTTCTATTCTACTCCAAATGGAACGAAATTTGATTATCAATTAGAAACTTTTCTCTGCCAATGTTACAAGTGTTGAAAGTGGTGTATCTATACAACCACTTTCAACACCGTACTTCCATACCTATAAAATCAATCCCGATACAGGATGTAAGATAAAATATAACATAAATTGATCGGAAATGTGCAAAATCGAACAATCAATCACGTGAAAGTTATTGCTTCCATTTCATCTTCCTGTATTCTGACAATAACTCTCTTAACAGAATAGCTACGAGAGGGACTTTCTGTGTAATAAACTAATTTTCTGCCAATACACGTAACGTGCTCTTTTCATGAAAACTATAAATTGCAAACATGACACGTTCGTTTCTTTGAATCGAAAATCTCGAATTTGATTTTATAGCTACGGTAGTATGCACTATAGAAAAACCATCGTCACTGTTCGCGTTTTTTAAAGCTGTCATTGTTATTTACAATCAACTTCCGAGAACCTTTCGTTAAAATCAGGTATCATACTTGAGAGTAACTCTAAAAATTCTCCAGAACAAATATTACATTATCCCCTCGGAGAACGTGCGAATTTAAAACAAAAGTGCATTCCTTTCTTCGTCATCGTTACGCTCGATCGCAGTTCGCGGCGCTGCGAACTTATCGGCGACGTTACGTCAAAAGCTGTAGCTTAGGCCAGCGTGAACAACAGCAAGACAAAGCGAACAAAAGCGCGTATAGAAGCGGAAAGCGAACAGGAAAGCGATGGAAGTTGGGGAAAAGTCAGACAACGATAGTGAATACGCGCGGAATGGAAGTGCGAGGAAAGGAGTGACGTACAGGTCGCATGATGCGGCTTACCTCGTGGCCTGCTTTTGTACCGAGGCCGATCAATAGTCGCGCCAGCAACTTCCGGTCCTAAAGTCCGTCCGTGCTTAAGGTTAAACCAGTCTTTGATTATCCCCTGATAACAGGGACACGTGCGCGCTTGTCTCGATCCGCGGTTAGGCTCGAAGAAGCTCGCATCGTGAAGCGGTCGCAGAATCGAAATTGTTTCGGGTCGCATATTGTCGTGGTTGATCGTGTTGTCGATTCTATCATCTCGATCAAGTAGTGCTCGCGTGTTTTAATGCGTCGGCGTTTAAAGGGGGAAAAAAAAAAAGAAGAAGAAAATGTCGGAATTTGAAAAGCAAGATCGGTATCGGGTGTATTTGATTCTTGACATTTTTCTTTCGTGAAACGTTTTAGAAGCTCCTTTAGTAGTCCGTTGTTGTCTTGTGTACGAAGAAAGTGCAATGGCTCGTGAAAGTATTTGAACATCTACTATAGAGTCTGAATGCGAAATTTTATTAACGGGATATGATTATTGTTGTGTTCAATCAAAATGAACGTAAATGTTAAGTCTCATTGAATAAATGTGGTTCGTAAATTTGACGAATAATTAATTTTGGTAGTTTGTTTGAAATGTATTTGTAACAGATATTTTATTTGTAACTTTTGTATAATCTCGAGTGCACGTTTTAAATTTTACCGACATGGTCATAATAATTTTATTTCATCATCACAATGCCAATACAGTACGTATAGCTCATAGTTATAAAAAGTTTCTACAAACTTCCGTGAGCCATTGTACGAATTCGGGTTGGAGAGTTCAGTGTAACACGAAAAAGGTTATCAACCTTTGTTGTAGTCGTCGAATTTTTGCATCTCCGTCATTAGCAAAGAAACTTCTATCATTTTAATATACAATTTCTACTATGAAGCGAGAAATTACGCGTACAAAAAGATATTTTAATAATTAAAAGGAAAAACACAATTAGGTCGAAAATATCGTATTTAATATAACACAGTGAGAATAAAATACGTTAAAATGATTTTACGTACGCGCAGAATACGACCTCTCGGATTTAATTCAACAACGATATTTGAAGATGGATTGTAAAGTTCGTCTTTACGAGTTCCACTTTCCAAGTTCGTTCGTTATTGCAAGCAGTTAGTAAGTCGGACGTTTTAGTGGGAATAAAATTTAGTAATTGAAAAGCAACCACCCCGGTGATTTTTTTTCCCTTTTTTTTCTGTTATATTTTTTCTTCGAAGTTCACCGAGTACGTTTATGTAATTTTAGTCACGATCGGTTAAAAAAGAAAGAAAAAAAAAAAGAGAAACAAGAGAAAAAGGCAGAAAACTGTAACGATCGATTCCTCGACGCCAGTCCACCACCGTGGCCAATAGTAAAAGCACTCTAACCGTACCGCCGACATTTTCGACCTCGAACCGATCATTCACGACCTCCTTAGCCTCTGCCCAGGTTACCTCGTCATTGATCGCGTTTTGTCTTTCGATACGAAATCTCTCTCTTTGATACGAACAATGCCATCTTCGCTGAAAAGGAATTCGATAATCCTTCAAGAGTTTCATCCCTCCTACGTCGAATACGAATTTCGATCCAATTAATCGTAATTTGAATTTCCTCTGAGATTATTAACTCGATTCAGCGCGTTGTTTGTACATTTCGAATTATGCTGAATTCAATTTCACGTGAAAAAAAAGTTACTTTGCCGAGCGAAATAGAAATATTCCATTTTTTCAAATATGAAATATTGGTACGAAAATGAAAAGTTACAATTATCAAGACAAGTAATATTTAGAAACTTTGAGGATTGACGCATTGAAGAAGTTAAGGATTTAATTTAAAAAAAAAGAAAAAAAAAACCAGTTTTGGTAACGTCAATTGAACGTGTCGAATAATAAAACTGCTTCCATTCTACTTTTTCTAAAAGTAATCTTCGCGTATACTTATACAATGACAGAGAAATAATCTGAGCAATGACAGATCGTGCGTGAAATCTCATCGACGGTGAGAGTCGCGTGCATCACTCGCGCAGAGGAGACGACGAGTAGAGAAAAAGGTCCGAGGTCGAGAAACAACGAAAAGACCGATGCGAAACAGCGTGTTCGGCGACCGTCACCCCTACCTGCCGACCGGTTTTTCCCCTGTACACGCAGACAATATCGTATAAGGCATTACCTTGAGACGATCGAGACGCTCTCACGGCGGTCCACGATCAGCGGGTCCTTTTTCCTCAGTTCGACCTTGGGCGAGGCGAAACTGAAAGCCTTCTTGACACTCTCGAGGACGCTCTGCCCGGTGGTCTGCGTTTGGTCGACGATCGTCGTACTTTTGTACACGTCTTCGCCCAAGTCGCCTAACGACCTGTACGAAGCGCCAATACCTGCCGGCATGGCGGCGACGACGTATCTCCGCTTCGCTGTTGCTCGCCCACGATGAAAATGCCGCGGTAAATGCCCGCTCCGGACCGTCCTGTTCGGACGACTTCGACAACGATGATCCTGTCCACCGTGTCCCGGTGGATCTACCTCTCACTCGGGGCGTTTTTCCCTCGTTGGTTGCTGCTGCTGTTGTTGATGATGGCTGATACGCGTGCCCGAAGCCGAGATACGCCAATATCGTGCGTCAACAAGGCAAACGAACGGGCAAACGGGCAAATAAAGAAAGTCCAAGATAAGGAGATTCCACGTGAGAACGAGCTCGGACTGTCGATCGAGGCATTGGCAAATGGTTTTTGAAAGACTGACTGAGTCAGTCAGTTGGTAGACTCTACTTTAGTCACTCCGATGACTAGTAACTGATCGTTATCCTTTCAGTTTCATTGGTCTGCAAGTTCGGATATTTTACGGTTTAGACCCTTGGGGTTTAGACCCTTGGGCTTCTCTAATTTCGACAGAATTTCCAAGTCAAAGGGACCGTGTATAATTGACGAGATACGCCGAATGTTCTGAATTTTCAAGTCAAACAAGAATCGGCAAACGATTTTTCATGGGTAAATAATCTTCCTTCGATTTCTTTTGTGAATTAACGTATTTTAACATTCGTGATAAACCACGTTGCGCTGGCAACTGATTGCGGACCATAACGAGTGACCAAATCGTATAAAATAATTCGTCGCTTTCTTTTTGAACTCGTCGGTATGATATCACCGGACAGAAATTATTGAGAAGGGAATTATTGAGAAATTTATTATTTGGTTTGCCTGGGTTATACTATTAAATATACATAGAACTGAAAAAATATTGCAATTTTGGGACAAAAAATTCTCGACGTGCGTCATTTTAGCGCAAGACAACACGTGAACGTTTCGATGAACAATCGTTTGTCTTTGATTCTTTTGGAGTTGGAATCTTTCATTGGAAGTTTTAATGAAATTTTGAACACGAAACAGGAAAATTTCGAGTATTTAATGGAGAAAAAGTATCGCTTGAACAGTACATCATAGAATATCCATTTCCTTCGATTTCATTTATGACGTCCTGCGGCAAACGTGGAAATATTTCAACGTTTTCGACTGTAATATAACTAACGATATATTAACGATTGATTCCAGAGGTATCGAAATACTTTCATTAGAAACTAGTTTTGAAACTTAGTTTTGAATCGACTCACTTAAAACTTAGTTTTGAATTTAATTGCTTGAAACTTGGTTTTGAAATTTAAAAATATCTTCAAATCTTGAACAATTAATAGCCCTTACGCCAGAGATAATAGATAAACGAGACAAGACGAATTGTCTTTTTAATTCAAGAGATTCAACTTAACTAAAACTGTGTTTCCGCAGTTTACATAACAGGAACCATTAAGCATGTATGTATGTATTCCGATTTAAGCTCGAGTATCGTTTGAAATTCGGGATTAGCGTTTTACTGCCAGTTATGACATGTGTTCACAATTCGTATGTAGACCTCCGAGGGGGAAATTTTTTGGTAAAATTCTACGAAAACGCGCTCACTACCGGATCAAAGTGCTGGTTTGTACCAAGCTCGGCATAACTCGAGTCATAATCCTTTTTCTCTCTACGTCTGTTCTTACTAATGCCCCAGTAATTTCCTTAATTACTTCGTTTTTTTCCAATTAATTTCAATTTAGCCCCGCGTCGCGCTCAAGTTACTTCTGCCCCGACAATTAATTATGAAAGAGCATTAATACCAGATTTCCATCGCGCGACGTTTCATACAATTCGATGTTTATACAAGATTTTTTTCTTCGTCACGCGATTCGACGAAGTGAAACTCTTTTCGTATGTATGTACGCGGTGCCCACAGCGTTTCTCATCTTAATATATTCAAAATCGAGCAAAACCAAACGCGGTCGAAAGCCATGAATAACACTACAGTCACTCATTAATGCTGTTCATCAAGGATGCAAACGCTTCGCTCGTGACGTCATCGCGGTTTGAAAGGACAACTACACCTGTCGTTGCTCGGACGAAACTGCAATTATAATATTTTCGGTGACTCAACACCAACCATGTTTGCTTCAAACGTCGTAACCAATAACCACTTGGCCAAGTAATCACGTGTGAACAGATCGATGAAAACATTTAATTCTTATCGCTCGTGCTCGATCCAGTATCATTAAATTAACTTCAGTTTGAAGCTACAAGTTTATCGCTAATGATATCGTTAGGTTGACTACAGACACTATTTAAACTGTTTGATTTTATTTCGCATTCTGCATTTCCCGCGAAATTCGGTTAAATCAAAAATTTCGAAATCACGCAGTTCGACTATAAACTCTTTCATAGCCTCCAAACTTAATTCGATGAATTACAGAGAGACTGTCGAGGCTGATGTTGTCTGCGTGCACCTGTCCGTCCTCAGTTGACGTTCCTTAATTGCTTTCTGGCCAAGAAAGGAAGACAGATGTTACGGTTTCTCAGAGCTAATAGAACGTTTCCTGTGCACGCCCATGGTCGATCCCGGGTCCCGATGCACTTCTCCAGATTACCTATCTCGCGGTCTAAACCCGATATCTTCATTCTTTCGTCCAAACAGTTTGATCTTTCCATTAATGCGGAGGAGCTTTCCTCTGTACCTTTCGCCATTGCCTCGTCGATCAGCCGCCGAGCGAAACGAAACAAGAAAACAAGACAAGGAGGAAGAGACGGACGTGAAAGAGACATGCAAAAGAATTCAATGAATTCTGATCATTACACATCGAGACAATCATGCGTGGCTGCATGCCAACTGCAAGGTGCTATCGTTTATGTGCGTCTTTTATGTGGAAACACGCAGATGCTGAGAGAGAGAGATAGAAAAGCGATAACGGCGATTCAGTGACCGTGTCAATCCGAAATGACCACGACACCGCTCTGCTCCGGGTGGAAACTCCGCTTTCCGAAATTCGAAACGGCGAATTTTCACGGTTCGTGGATCACACGATTCGCCGGATGGATTTCAAACCGGTGTGTTCTTCGTACCCGGGGAAAACGCGCATGCAAAAATTTAGAGTAAACAGAAACGAGCCTGATAGCGGGACGATTCGACGTGCACGGCCGATTTTTATTTGTTTTTTCCTTTTTTTCTTTTCTTTTTTTTTTTTGGTAGCTCGTTGCGCGAGCCCTCCTGCGTAATTATAATTTAATAACCCATGATAAGTTGTATTTTTAGACCTACGATGAGTGTTCGTTGAAAATTTTCCAGTTTTGCAAGGCAGTCGGCTGATTTGTAAAATTTGTAGACGTTCAGTTGTCTTATTTGGAATTCTACCGTTATCTAAGAGAATTTGTTAGTAAAATGAGCAATTCCTGTTTGCCGAGTCTTGCTCGTTTTCTATTTCCTTTCGCTAATGTGCACGGAAGCCTGAATCATTTTCTCTTATCACTTTCTTTCATCGTTTCTCCCCGAGGTTCGTCGAGTTTTAAAATGACGATCCGTGTACTCGAGAGATAAGAAGTTACGTGGTATCTCAAACGCTTCGAAAAAAATATACATTTCGAAAAAATAAAACGAAGAGCAAAATGTCGTATGGAAACATTTTAACCAAGGTCAAAATCTTTTGCTGTTGTTCAAGAGAATTTGTTATTGCCGGGGAAATTAGTGACTCGATAAATTTCGCTAATGATGTTAGTTCAATTACGCAAGAGGACTGTCGGCCGTACACTGATTTCGTTTTCCCGAATATCTGTTTCCGGACGAATTTGCACGGCAACGATAACGATCGATAAATGCACCGGGGCTGAGTACGATGAAGAAATTAACGCGAGCGTTACCGGTTGAATCCGATTGTCGACGAGACCGCTTGTCCGCCGAAAGGAAATTTCTTTTCCACGGTGTTGCCCAGTTATCGATCGTAAAAACCGAAAGCGTAAATTACTTTTTACGAGCACGATCCTCCTCAGGCCACTCAGGTGTATTAATCAGTGTCGATCTTCCCGTCTTCCTGTCAATTAAAACCACCGATCGAAGAAACTTCGTTCTCCGAGTTGTGCGTCACGCTCGCGACCGATCGAGTTCTCGTAACCTAATATAGAAAGAAAATGCGAGAATAAAGCGACGACGCTCCGTGGTAAAATTATAAATCCGGTTTAAACGCGCAATTGGTTTTTTCACTTTGTCAGGCCTCTTCGAAGTTCTATAAATTCTTTAATGCGTGGCACGTCGTGATTAAAAAAAAAAAAAAAAAAAAAAGAGAGAGAGAGAGACGAAAGAAAAAAGGGATCGCATTTCCCTTCGACGTTCGTTATTTCGAGATTTAAAATTCCAATGGATAAAAATGAAAACTCAACCGTCCGTGTGTACGGACATACACAGCAAGAGCCACGTTTCGTGGTCGGCGCGCGTATGAAAAGGAACAATCGATAAGGAGAACGAGATTATAAAAAGCTCGATGCACATAGATTCGCGCGCGGGAATAAACCGATTTCCGTATTAAATAGCCCACCCGTGTCCGTGCCTCGTTAATTCGACGTTCGGGCATATCCATGAAATCCCATTAAACTCTCGTCACAGGCAGGAAGAGTTTTGTAAATGTTGAAACTCGTCGAATTCTAATTTCTTCGGCAACTCGCTCGGATTGTTCGGGGGAATTAAAATTAATTCGACGAACACGTATGACGCAACGAACTGTTACTTAACCTACGTAAGCTCCGCGTTTGGCCCCACGGGAACCGAAAATACGAGGATCAGCTGCGGTCTCCGATTCATAAATACGCAGCCATGCACGCGTACGTGTACGTGTGTCCACGCGTGTGTAGCGCATTAGCCAGAGGCAGAATTACCACGGCGATTGGTGTGGTTTTCCACGAAGGGTTATTCGCGGAATCGTAGAAATATATATCCGCGCGCGTCTAAATCGTGGCCCCAGGAGGGTCGTGTATTGATTTTTCGCGTGGATAGCCGCGTGTGTAACGTCTAACCTCGTTTCTCGTCGAGTAATCGCATACCCGGGCTGCCAGCGGTGACGTATCGAGCTCTCGATCGCTGACGCACTCGTCAAATGCTAAATCACATGCCAGTGGCGGGAGAGTTGGTTTAAAAATGAACCGTGTGACAGAAGGCTCGAGGGAATCGAAGAGATCGATCCCAGAGCAGCTTGACGAAGAGACGAAGCTCGACCTTCGTTGCAACACCGTGTGACTCACTTCGAACAGCGTCGTTGACGCGCCGGTTATTCTATAATCGGCGTAGCTCGTTGACAGAAAGTTCGTCGCGAGGAAACGAACGACCGAACGCGCGAACGCACGCACGCACGCACGCACGTAAGAGGCACGAAAGCTTTACGCGCGTAGAAACGTCGACGGTGACTAGAGACGACGAACGACGACGAACGGCGACGATCGCGGCGACGTTCTAATACCACGGAATCTTCGTCATCGATCGAAGATATTAGGCAGTTTCCTTTTCTTCCATTACCTGTCCGACTTTAGCCGCGAACGTCGCGCCGGAGTTCGCGGCTAAAGGGAAATTGCGCGTGGATGGTGCACGGAAATCAGTGACTCACCTCGTCTTGCGCGGCTCCCGCTGCGGAATCCTGGTACCGAAAAAGAGTTGCAGCTTCTCCGCGGCTTTCGAACACGACGGCACGGAAACAGAGGCGCGACAGACGAGAACGCGAATCGCCCACGAATCCTTTTGCGTTCGCTCCTCTTTCCGACTAGTGATCTCCGACTTTTCCTTTGGATTTCCTCACCGACGTGATTTCCTTTCGACGTAACTTTCGTCCTTCTCCTCCTTCTCTTCGTCGTCGTCGTCGTCGTAGTCGTCGTAATCGTCGTAGTCGTCGTCGTTGTTTCGCCCTTCCTCGTTTTCCGACGTGTGTGACGTGTGAGAAGCGCACCACGAGAGGCAAGACCAACGAGAGAGAGACCGTACCGTGTTCTCAAAGGCACCGCACGATTACTATTGGCCCGAATACACGACTCAGGCTACGAACTGGTCAATGGGAATGCGCACCGCTTCGTGCGCGGTGCACAGCGGATCGAACCGGTTACGGACGGTCTACCGACATCTGGCTTCGAAACACGGGATCCCGGGTTACACGAGGGGAACCTCTGCCCGACCATCGGGCAACCTTGATCGACCTTGGATAACGTTAACTTTCACTTTATCGAGCGAGAAACCCGACGGAGACCTTCTTGGCCTAAAGGGTTTGCTCTACCGACTCGGCAGAGATCCGTCCTATCCATCGCGCTCCTCTTTCCAATTTAGTTGCCTCGTTTGCTGCGAAGTCGTCACATCGTAGATCCAACGATATAGATAATTTTCACACGTTATCTCACGGCACGCGTATCTGCTCTCTTTCCTTCGAAAGTTTTAAATGATAATAATTTTTTTTCTTTTTTTTTTTTTTTGTAAAGAGAATAGACGTTTGACAGATGTATGCGCGTACTCAAGTATGAAAAATTGCAAAACGGCGTTGAACGCGAGACGAAAACAACGTCTATAATCGGACGATCTTTCCACGTTATCGCGGGGCTTAACAGGAACGATCCGGTTGAATCTAGTTTGAGCAACAACGTCTCGGAAAGCTTCGGGTTCCGATGAAAGACCTCGTTTCACGTTGTAAACACACGACGATTTGCACTTTTGATTTATAACTCACGATAGCTTAGTCGTAGACTGAGAACAGCTTTGAAACTTTTTGTCTTTACAATTGAAGTGTTTCGCGCGTTCGCGAAGAATAAATCGGTAATTTTCGGACGAGGAATGCACACGGTTTGTTAAATTTTTTTTCGAGAATTTTAGTTCCACGATGAACGTTCACTTTAAAAGTGAATTAACGATCAAAGCGGAGCGAGAAACCGACGGATTCGGGGAGGATGCTCTTTCGCAACCGGTATGCAGCCGATGGTCTACGACTCAACGTAATTCCAAGTCGCATTACGTTGTCGGGCGTAAATCTGAAATTCAATTGCATTCTCGACCGTCACGTCCCACTTTCATTCCCGTCTCCTCCCCCGTTGATCAGTTACCATTTACCTCGTTCCCGAGATTAGTCCGCAAGAATCCTCCTTGGATCGGTTCGAACATCGTCGCCCTTCCCCTCTCTCACTCTCTCTATTTGTCCGCGGCCGCGTCTCTCTCTTTCCTTCCCGTTCTTTCCCGGCTCGTTCAGTCTTCCTCTCTTCAGTTTTCTCTCTCTCTCTCTTCCCTTCGTAATCGAGTCAAATATGAGAAGAATGGAACAACGAAACGGAAGTGCTCTCTCCGGAGAGCTTAAGAGAGACGGTCTGTTTTATGAAATTCACTTTGACGCGAGCGAGAGAGATTAAATTTGCCCCGACCGGACGGCTCGACAGAATCTCCCTTTCGGACGGGGTTGGGACGTTTTTGAATTGGTGGACGCGCGGGAATGCACCGAGGCTACCGAGGAGAAAATCGAGAGCGAGCTAAACGTGTGTCCTATTTGACAACACCGTAGGTAAACGAGAGCCTGTTGGGATTTCACCTAGACAACGCCTCGGGAGTAATCCTCGTCTGGAGATTACCTCGGCCGTGTCGTGTCTTTATTTATGCTCGGTTAAAAAGATTTTTAATCCCTTGCACTGGCAACTGTTTCGCGGACCATAACGAAAATTCTCGACGTGCGTGGCACGTCATTCCAGCTCAAGAGGCACCAGGCATCGGAGTCTTGCACGTTCGGCACAACATCCGGCCATTGCGGATTCAAGGATAGCCGATCAACGACGATCGTTTCGGCCACGTATTCATTTTACAACGTTCAATCGTAATCGGCGGCCGCCATCGTCCACGGAGAAACTCCCGAACGCTTAATTAAAATCCTTCTCGACGAACGAGAGAGGTCGGACAGGAAGTTCATCGTGTCGCGTATCTACGAACGATCGAACTTCCCTTTTCATCGCGCAACAGTCCAGTTCTTGGACAATATTTATCGTTTAGGTTTAACGTGCATTTCGCGTGGATTTGCGTTGTTGTGTCATGGAATTTGAAAGTGCGACGAATAATTAATAATTAATTCATTTTTGTTAATTAAAATTATTGGCTACTTCAACGAGGGTGCGTTTTCTTCGCAACTGGAAGCGAACTCGAGTTGAAAACAGGAAGGTTTCAGAGGTTACTTCTTTTTACCTCTCCCCCCCCCCCCTCTCCAGAAAGTTTTTAAAGACGATTTTTGAGAGTTTTAAATCGAAATATAACGCCCGGAGTTCATTAAGAGACAGCGCAAACGGTTTGAAAAGTCGCCAACCTCGTTTCGAGCGAACAATTATGCGAGTCGCGATGGCGAGGCAACTTCAGTTATATCCCAAGATAATTTCATCAAGGGATGAATAATAATTGGGCACGTGGAAACGAAGTCCTTGGATTGTGTTTTAATGATAAAAGTTAACTACGAGATTTGTCAATAAAACAGAATCACCCGCTCCTTTTCCTGGTTCCATTTTAATAACTATTTTAACAAATTATCAATTAAAAAAAAAAAAAAAGAAAGAAAAGTAACAGAAATTTGAACACGTTTAATAACGTTCAAGTTTTCACGGCAGTAAACATTCGCTGCTTCCTCATTAAAATTTTAATTAAGTTCCGTTGAACAAACGGAAGCAGAGAAAGTCTAGTTCTAGCGCGTAGAGTCATTGATTTCTGTAATGGCACCAATTAGAAAACAAGTGATTACGAAATATTCTGAATTGCAATTAAATTTCCACGGAATGTGAATATAACAGGCGTAGTTTGTTGTAGCGTCTCGATTATCAATTTTCGTTTGTCACTTGCAATTAATATCTGCAATTAATAAATCTGCACGATGTCAAACGCGAGAGATTTATAAAAACAACTCGTGAAACATCGTCTCGCGTTAACTAGAAATATCGCCTCCATCGTGCGAGTCAAATTTGCTGCGCTGTATTGTAACGCGAGTTCGCCAAACAAAAATGCGAAAAGAACGGAAGAGGGAGCGTGAAATATCCGGTGCTAGACGTGACGTTTCTTCTCCATATCCGTTTACGAGTTTCTCTGATACGATATGTTGCGTCTGAACCGCCATCCTCTCTCCCCACCTGCCGCTGGTTCGCCTTTGGAATCTCCTTCTTCAAACGATATATATATATATACATATATATTTCCTCGAGTACATTCATCATAAAAATGTATATTTATGTATATTTTCGCCGGTCTGCTCCGGTGGAATACGCGTGGTATTGTTGCGGCGCGGCAGCCCGTGCCGCTTTGTGCCCTCTCGATTACACCGGATTTGCAGAAAGTGACATACGAGAGCGTGCTTATTCGTACGTGGTGGGTGGCGATGGGGTGGTGGTTCGTAATATGCGTGCAACGTCGGCTACATATTTTTTCTTACGGTTTTCTCTCTCTCTCTCTCTCTCTCTCTCTCTTTCTACATTGCCATCCAACCCTCGGGTCTCGACGTGCTTCTGACGCCGGAAACTCTTCGCCCGGAGTAGAGACCGAGCTCTTGTGAAAAAGAAAATTGTCAAGGGACGGTATTTAATCTGTCAACCGTTGTGAAGAATCGCTATGAGCGTCGCGCAGAGTTGAGGCTTAAAGCTACTTTACGTAGCTGTTTTTCGCCCGGGAAACTTGAATATTGATCGGTATTACTCGCTGATGCGCCCGCTATTTTTCTCTGTCCTATTCGTTCTCATCACCTTTGTTTTCTCGCTCGTTCAAGATTTAACGTAGCGCTGCCGATTGATTTGCAACTCCAGAAGTTCAGAAGTACATACACAATATCGAGACTCTTCAATAAAGTCGGTCGTGTTCAATCTATTATGTTTAAATTAAACACTCGTGTTTCTTCTACGTTCTTGACATTAAATTTCATACAAAACTCGAGGCTAAGAGACACGTTTCTAAGTGTTTAAATATTTCCGTGACTGTATATAATGCACTGAAGTGTGAATTATCAAAGTATACGATTATTTATGCAAAAGTATACGAATTAATCATGAGTTGCGAAAAGTCGTGAAGATGGAAGAATTTGAATCAGTCATGAACTACACAATTTTATCACCGATATAAAAGAAATCTCTCGACAGCATACAGAATCTAATCAAATTGAATATAGCGTAAGGTTCGATAATCGCGTGAGAAGTTGTAATAAAGTTTGTGGTTCTTATTAATATTGAATGACCGGCGCTTTAATCTTTCCGATGGGTAAAAAATTGAATCGGGGCGTGCCGGCCAACTTCTGAATGAATACGTATGCAACGTATTAAACGAGAATGAGCTTCGAACGAAGTTGGCGTCAAGTGTAAGATTAATGCACATTTTTTAACACACCGTCGGAAATTGGATAAGTTGGCGCGAATGTTGCAAATATTATTCTTGACAGGATCTTCCTCTCCCCTATTTCAAATGATCGGTACTTCGAAGCGATGCCACTTACCTCCTCTGTAATTTGTTACCGCGAACTCGCGAGCTATACTTGATTCTTTAGAAGGCTCCTCGGGCCCGATCGTCGAAAATTCAGAAATCGTCGAAATAAAATTTCTTTGATTCTACAAGCGATATTCCACTACGACAGTTCTGTGATTCAAAATTGTCGCATTGGCTGAAATTTTATGATTTTGGCTGATTCCAAAATTCCAGAAACTATTTTAGAATATAGAAATAACTTCGAGATTTTGTAAAGTTGTATTTTACGAGGCTTGTGACTCTGATCTAAGGTTGAGATTCGAGACGGTACTTGATGACGGTACGTTCAAAAATGTAGAAATAGCATTGGGAATGGTCTTACGATATGAGCTAACTTTGAAGTCGTAATATTTCACGATTTTGAAAATCCTCCATTCAACCAATGCGATCTCTGTGAACCTGATGGGATTACGCCATTCGTGACCACCATAATTGGGTTATAATTGCAAGTTTGCACGCGACGAAAGGTTAGTGGAGTTGATTCGAGAAAAATTGATGAAATTTTTATTTACCATTAATGTAGAAAAAC